TATAACTACTTCTATACTCATTTCCTATGCCAAACTTTTTCTGAACTTACTTTTTATGCAGCTAGTTTATTGTGATCTTCACCACTGTCTAGTCCTATTTTAAAACTTCCCTTCAGCTGAGTTAATAACCTTTGCAAACAAGCCAGACCCTGCTCTATTTAAATGTAAACCACCCATTCCAAAAAGCTCCCTTCTCCCATTGAACTGATCCCACAAGTCCAACCAGCCAATCTGTTCATCCTTACATATTAATCTAAGCTTAGCATTTAGCCTAGTGACCTACTTATAATTTCACTTTCACAATTGGCAGTATCCCTGACACAATTAAGTTGTGGCTTTTTTTTCTTTAAATGCCTTTATCAACTCCTTGTATTTATTAGTTAGCTCCTCTGCCCTACATCTTTAGCCCTATGTGCTTAAAAAAACTGCATCATTGCTAGCCCTCTTTATTATATCTCTTATTATGTCAGTTATATCCTCCACCTTTGCCCCTGGGTAGCATAATATAATTTTTTTCCCTATTTACACCACAGACTATTCTGTCCACATGCCTTGTCAAGGAATCTCCTATAACCTCCTTATCATCCACATCCTTCTCTGACCCTTTTGTTTTCCTTCACTCCAATAGTTTCTCATCTCTACAAGCCAAGGACTGAAATCTGTTGCTCAATAGAATAGGCTCATTACAGTTAAATCCACTACTTTTAGCCCTAAAAGTACTCTTTCTAACTTTCTGAAAGTCATTATTAGCTGATGTATCCCTTGCATGTAAAAGCTTAAGCTCCTCTTGAAACCCTGCTGCCATTTCCCACAGTTACACTTCTCTTTATCTAGTACCTCTACTCTAATTAGGATAGCCTCCAACTTCTCTTACAGCCTATAAACTCTATGTACAAATTGCACATCTTCACTACTAGCTTCCTTAAAACTATATACCAGTTCCAAGTTCCCAAATAATAAAAAAAAATGTAGGATTAAGAGAACTATTCAAAATAAAGAATGTAATGTGATGCTTAGGTTGTACAAATCACTTATCAGACCTTACCTAGAATACTGTATTCAAGTATGGTGTCCATATCTTCCAAAATATGTAGATATACTTGAACAAGTTCATAGAAGATCAGCTAAGATGGTAACAAGTTATCATAATACGTTTTTTTATATGTACATGTAAGTTTTATAATTTTAAACAGAAAATATTGATGTCTATAAATATATAGTGTTTGCTATTGTTGAAATAATCAATTATGGATGTTTATCATAATTTGTTTTTTAATAATTTAGGACTTGGATTAGATTTTTCTTACATTTTTTTCCTGTATTAGCTATAAATGACAGGCTATTAAACTTCAAGAATGTCAGTAGTCAGAATATTTCCCTCATTTTAGTTGTTTATAAATTTGTGAATGGTGTAATTTTTCATAAATACTGTATAAATAACAAATATTGATCGTATGTATTAATATACATATTGATAAGACAACTTATATATATCAATTATTCCAGACCACCAAAGCTCCAACTTCTGTTGCTTCACCTGTAACATCGGACTGTGTGTACTATAAGGTAACTTAAAATATTTGTTTTTATTTTTCTTGTAATTTTAATTTATTTCAGCAGTAATATGTAAAAGTTTCAAATGATCAGCCATCATTAAATTAAATTTTATTTTTTCACATCTATATATTATGGTATGAAAGTTTCTGAAAAATGAGTTTTTTCAGCTTTGGCAAAATTTCCTAAAAAATTCAATCTTCCTTTCCAAAGTCTGAAAGTAATTGTATACATCATAGATGTTAATATATATTTTTTGGAGTGTTCTGTAGTTCTTCCTTTTTTCAACTATAAACAAGTAGTGATAAAGACCTTTAACATATAATATCATCAAATAATAGTACTATTTATAGAATAGAGATTATTGATATTAGAAATTAAAGTGCAACTTTAAAATATAATTTTAAATTTGTTCTGTGATATGCTTCTGTTATTGCTGTGGAACATCAATACATACACGAGTATGTATAATATAAAAATTATGGTATCTCTATTAGAAAAAAATTATTTTATAAAAGCTTGTAATAATCCTCCTATTTAGATAAGTTTGGATTATAGTGTCTTAGGCATAAAGTATGCACTGACACTGCTCCTTTTAGAACATATCCTAAATATATTTTATGTCTAGCCACAGTAGCATATAAATCATAGGAATATCATTTCATAAAAGACTTTGAGATAGTAATAGGGTTAGCTTGGTTTTATATTAATAATTGTTTTCTTGGTTACCATACCAGCTGTTGGTCTTAGCAGTCACTCAAATGTCCCTTTTGTTTCAAATCCCTCTACACTTTAAGTTTTTGTGCGCATGAAAGAAAAGTAAATGTGTGTGTGTGTGTGTGTTAGCTCCAATTCATGATCAGTAATGGAAAACTAAAAAAAAATTAACATTTTCAAATTCATACAAACATTGGTGCATTACATTTGTTTTCTTATTTACTGAACACCGTTCTGTACTGCTGACAGTAGACAAGACAGTTTATATTCCTTTGCCAATCTTTGTTGTTAATTGAGCACTATGTGGCTAAAAATAAACTATGTCAAAATTAGCTTAGTTTTTCATGCTTGTTCATCATTTCATTCACAAAAAAATCAATGTCTAAATGTCTATTATTGTAATGGTACCAAATCTAAATTCCATTAGGATGAGTTAACTAGGATTTATTACTTTCAGTGATTAATGCTATAAAATGTATAATTACATTTTGTTGTATATCAGTGACAAATATGATTATTCATCTAATGCTAACTAAAGCGTATGAGAAGTCATAATATAAGTGCATTTATGTCTTAATTCTGTTGGTTTCAGACATTAATATGGTAAATAAATGAAACTCAAAATACAGTTGAGTTGGCAATTGCTGGTGGGAGAATTGCCTTAACAGGTATATTTATTCCATGAAAACTGTATTTTCTTGGAGACATACAAGCTTAAAGTAATTAGCTTTTGCTACGTAAATAATTTATTGGCTTCTTTAAAAATCAGTAATTAAAAATTTTCAACCTGAAGTATTTAGTTAAATATAAACAGCTGATGGTCATCACTATTTGAAAAGTTATAAAAAATGATGGAAACATTACATAACAAGTAAAGATTAAAAATTATTATTAGTTCTACCCAAGACTTGTAAATGGATGAAGTACTGTAACAATCATTTCAACTAAAACATTGTATGCTGTAAACCAACTAGTCTGATGAGCTTTGGTATCAAGTAACGTGTAATAAGGTGTTGTTGAATTACTGGTTGATGCACAGTAATGTTAGTTTCAACTAAAACATTGTATGCTGTAAACCAGCTAGTCTGATGAGCTTTGGTATCAAGTAATGTGTAATAAGGTGTTGTTGAATTACTGGTTGATACACAATAATGTTAGTTTCAACTAAAACATTGTACGTTGTAAATCAGCTAGTCTGATGAGCTTTGGTAACAAGTAATGTATAATAAGGTGTTGTTGAATTACTGGTTGATACACAGTAATGTTAGTTTCAACTAAAACATTGTAAACCAGCTAGTCTGATGAGCTTTGGTATCAAGTAATGTGTAATAAGGTGTTGTTGAATTACTGGTTGATACACAGTAATATTAGTTTCAACTAAAACGTTGTAAACCAGCTAGTCTGATGAGCTTTGGTATCAAGTAATGTGTAATAAGGTGTTGTTGAATTACTGGTTGATACACAGTAATGTTAGTTTCAACTAAAACATTGTAAACCAGCTAGTCTGATGAGCTTTGGTATCAAGTAATGTGTAATAAGGTCTGATACACAGTAATATTAATTTCAACTAAAACATTGTATACTGTAAACCAGCTAGTATGATGAGCTCTGGTTTTAAACTAGTAAATAAGAAGGTGAGTAAAAATTATTATTTTGATGTAACAAGACATATTATTATCTATTAGCTTTTTTTTTACCAGATTTTAGGGTTGTTGTATTTACTTATATCATAGCATATAGAATTTTAGTCAAGTGCTCTAACAAAAGTTTTTTTTTTGTCAATCTTCTTTAGGGGTTTTATTATCAGGTGGGAGATATTGTCTCGGTGGTTGACGTGGAAGGTGATGTGTACTATGCTCAGATTCGGGGACTGCTACAGGACCAATATTGTGAGAAGAGTGCTGTGCTATCCTGGCTCATTCCAACACAGTCCAGTCCAAAAGACTACTTTGATCCTGCAACATATATTATTGGTGAGTCTTTTCCAGAACATTAGAATGTGGTTCAGCATGAACGTAAAAAAAAGTAGTAACAGATTTTCTTGGTGTTTTATTGACATACCTATAAAAAATGTGACAAGTTCCTTGAAAAACGCCTAGATGGAAGGGTAATATTTAATACTATCATTTTATGTGTATGGGTGTGTCATACTAACCAAAATTAGTCTAGTATTGATCATCATAAGGATGAGTACTACAATACCTTTTTGGGGATGGATGGTAATTTAGGTTTTAATATATATTTTTTATTATACATGTTCCCCATCAGTGTTTATGTGTATATATATATATATAATATTTAAAGCACCACCAGGTTTGAAGTATTGTACCTTTTACTTTTTTGGTTGGTATTGATTTAGTAGCTGTAATAAGACTGCTCTTCAGCCAGATGCTCTTTTTGTAGTAAGAGATGTATGGGAGACAATCAGTTGCACACTTTAATTTTAACCTGTAAGCCTGGTTTGAATATACATGTGGTCATCATTGTTTTTCTTGTTATTAAACATTTGGTGACTTTATTTAATTTTTAGGTGCAGTTGGGATCTAACCACTTATTATTCAGCAAATTTTATTTGGTTTTATTATATGTATGTATAAAAGTAATATTCTGTTCCATGTAGGACCAGAAGAAGATATTCCAAGGAAATTAGACTGTTTGGAGTTTGTGTGTAATGCTCCAGCAGAATATTTCAAAGCACATCACAGTCCTTATCCCACTCAACCATCTAGACCTGAAATGTGTTTCATCTGGACAAGGATAGGGCCACAAATTAAGCCACTTCCTTCTCAAGAGGAGGTGTTTGGAATATCCTGAAAATGTGGTCTTACAGTTAGTATTTTGAAGCACTGTGTAAATATATGTATAGTTAAACTGTTTTCCATACAATGAACCACCACCTTTCAACTAGATAACTACCATTTCTTCAGATTAAAGCACGTGTACTTGGTCAGTTTTGCAATCTTCAATTCTAAAAGTAGGAAGAAAAATTGGAACTTCAGATGTGATAGTGATGACTGTGAAAACCAAATTTTAATATATATATACATATATATATGGTGTCTCAAACGTTGGTCACCATAGGCTGAATGTCTGTACATGCATACAGATCACCTACACACGTTTTCCAGTGCTAAGTGTCATTATCTAAAACACATGTAAAATAAACATTAAATTCATCAGTTTTATAATGACAACTGACTTGGGACACCCTGTATGCAGTGGTGGGATTCAGCCAGTTCGCAATTGTTCGTGCAAATAGGTTCCTAAAATTTCCAGAGGTCGCCAAACCGGTCCTTAATCCTTTCAGTCTGTGCACGATTTTTCTTTATAAGGAATATTTATTTTATAAAAACATTCAATAAAAATTGTTCGTATATTTGCAAGTGTCAACATAAACAAAAACAATGTTTTTCTTAACGTAATGCCTTGGTAGGTCGTGGCTTGTCATTGTCATATGCTGGTGCATGCGCACAGAGCTTGGGTGGGCACATTATTCCGCCATGGGAGAACATTGGCGGTTGGCTTTAGTCTTCAGTGCATGCCTAGACACAGTAGTGGTAGTGTGTTTCTCATGTGTTTAGACATTTTATCGGTGTTATTTGTTTCGTATAAATAATAAGTTACTTATTATAATACTATATAATCCTTTTTTATCATGAGTAGGTAATTAGATTCGATAATTTTTATACCTATTAATTTGATTTCCATAGCGGTTATTAAACTTCAAAATTTATTGACATATTAAATTTTAGCCCCAAAAATTAACCGACAACAGGTTTTATCTGATTTTTTTTGGAATAAACCAAGATCTGAAAAATTAAGTCTTAAATCACAAATATTTAAAGGAAAGTACATAAATAAAGAATTTCAATAAGGGGGGTAAGGAGTGGGCGAACGGGTTATTAAAAATTTTGAATCCCACCACTGCCTGTATGTGATGAAAAATGTAGTTATACTCAAAGCTGTAGATAATGCTTATCCTACAAATATATTAGTTTTCCCATAAGTCAACAAAACATTAATAAAATGTTCAAGTCAAAATTGTTCTCAGACTTCCATTCTATAAAGTAAATATGAAAAAATATTTAGAAAAAAATTTTTTTTTTTTTACTGCAAAGACTTTAGTAAAGACTGAAAACTAACTGCCAGTATCAGGTATACTTTAGCACCAAATGAACTTATTACTCATCATGATTAAAAATAAAAACTGCAAGTTGTTTAGGTTTACAAATATAAATGGGCTAAAATGACATACAAAAAAACAGGGAATAAGATTTAACATTTTGTATATATTTTTAAAGTAAACACACATTGTAGTGTCTTAATAAGTTAGGGTTTTACTACAAGATTTTATGCTTAATGTAATTTCACTGAAGCTAATAAACTGATATTTGTGAGAGATTATGTGCAATTTGTGTGTTTTTATTTAAACGTGATAACCTGCTTCACACTGACAACTTTAAATAAATCTTAATATAAGTCACTTAATATTTAATGTATTTCTACTAACCCTGGATATTGTTAGTTAGCAGGATTTCAAAACGATCTACTCAGGTAATTCTTGAACTGTGCAAGCACTGATACAAAAGATCGGCACATGGCTAAAGCATGGCCTGCTTGTTATTAATAAAACTGTTTAGTTCTTTAAACTCATCTTAAAAAATGTTAGAAACAACTTTATATTAAAGTGTATGATACAGTTAAGAGTGGCAGATTTTAAATAATTAGATATGAAATACTATCACGGATGTTCCAGTCAAGTGTACATGTACTACACATGGAAAAGCATGTTATTATAAACAAGTATCAACCTTGTCTTTATTTGTAAATGCAAGAAAAGATGTATGCATTTCTAGGGAAAATATATAATTGTCTGACAAATGCTTTTCTTGTAGAGGATACTTTCCCAGTGTTTTTTTACACCTGAAGAACATATAAACAGTTTATTGTACTTTTTCCTGTAGAAAAACTATTTTACAATAGAAAAACAGTTCAGATAAACCAATGAATGTGAGCTAGACATTAACCATACATTCTAAAGTCTTGGCAATGAGAATAAGAGGGATTGGTTGGTGAGTGGAAGGACACTAATCCAACTGTCACTGATTGATTTTGAAAGCATATCATGTGAAAAGGAGTTTAGATGGCACAACATGAAAAAGAGACAGCCACTTTCTGAGGCAGTGTTGCTCTGATTAAGTGAAATCTTGAGTTCAACAATGGAGCAAAGAGCATTTAACCAGTCAGTGCAACCTTCTGCCAAACTTCCTCAGGAGAAAAAAGTTACAGTTATAAACTCAATGTCACATTTTTCTAAAAGGGGGTTGTGATATCAAAATGCCTTCATGTAAAGGTCCATGACTTTGATTTCTCTGCAGCTGCAAACTAGGAAGGATTAGCTGATGTGTAGTGCACCCAGAATGGCATATTGGGCATTGCCCCTGAAGATTGATTTTGGAGTAAGAGAAGCATGGTGAGTCCGAGATTTGATGGGGTAGTCTCTACAGAACTCCCAGGCTGCTGCAAGCCAGAATAACTCAACCCCAGCTCTGGTGAGGACCACTTGAGAAGGACTGGATGTGCTGCTGGTAGAAAAATTATGCTAATCAAAGCTGTTTCACTAGCAGGTGAAACAATGGGTACCAACCTGCAAACCATGAGATAGAAGAGAGCCTCTCCAAGCTGAGATGTATCCTGCCAGGGTGACCATGGATCATGAAAAAACCTGTGATTTAACAAAGCATCTGGATGAGATGCTGAGAGAAACTCACTGGCCTAGGCCAGGAACCAACTATTCACCCAGCACAGAAACAGCTTGAATCTGGCTGGACAGATCTGTACCATGTACTCCATCAGATTGATCCAGTGTCAGATGAGTTACAGTGGATGTGAGGCATGTGGAACATGCTGATAAGCTGGGTCCACACATCACAGATGAACCTATTGTGCATTGGTTTTACAAAGAGTCTGAGGTTGAGACTGTTGAATGAGAGGAGGACAAGTCATGTTGGTTTATAACAATGAGAAGGAAAGAGCTGAAAGCACTTATCTGGATGCCCAAGATAAACCAAAAGTCAGAAGCAAATGAAAGCTCCAACAGTTGGCTGAGCGACAGCTTCCCAAATCAATTTGGGTGTGAGTAGCATTGATCACTACATGAGCTAGGATAGTCTCTGATTGTCGAATCACTGACTGAAAGGAAGTGGTGATCCTTGTTCTCCAAGTGCTCAAGTCATGTTCACAGTCAAATCTATGGACTAAATTGCCTGATTTCCATAGAGGATGGGAAGCTCAGAAGCATTAGTGATACATCTTCTATGTGTGATATAGGGTGTGAGTACATATGAAGCCCATAGAGATTTCACTTGAACAAGATACAAAGTTATGACAATCTCTAAAGGATTTCAAGGCAGGTTATGATGTAATCCAGTAGTTACAACCTTTTTAAACCTACACATCTGGCTGAACTTTTGATCAATTGGAATTCACCTGACTTTATGTTTTCAATCTGGACTTTTTCTATTTAGGGTTATTTCCTGAAAACCTGTGTAAGCTGCATTACATACTGCCAACTTAAAAGAGACCAATTCACCCAAGACTTTTACAGTGAAGGAATGGAATACATGGCCATACCTTGTATTCCTGGAGCCAGGCTGGTGTGCACTACAGCCAAGCTTATGAATGAATATGCTTTCTTTTCCAATGCATCATACATAGGAGAGCTTGCTGCATCCACTGTTATGTTAGCCATAAAGTTTTCTGGGGCCGAGTACTCCCCATTAGCTGTGGGAGGTCCCATGGAGTTCAAACCTCCAGTGAATGTACTGGTGATGGAGGGAGTAGCAGTGATGACTGCTTCATTGACCTTGAAGGAGCCAAGCCTCCAATTGATTCAGCAGCAGCCCATGCCATTAATGTTGACTTCAGCAAATTTGAAGTCAGTGTCTGGAACTTGAATCCTTCCGTCTGGGAGGGATGGATCCCTGAATGGGGCTGGCTGCCATTACCATCACTACCATGGTAATGCAGACCAGCCAGCTGGCTCATGGGCCATCCTAGTTCATAACAGTGTGATTTGGTTCAAGTGTATTTTGTTACTTTACTGTATGAGAACGTTATACAAATCTGTCAGTCTTAAAATAATATTACAAAATACACTTGAACCAAATAATGCTGTTATGTTTTGGGCTTTTAACCATTATATTATGGAAAAGCCCTTTGCTTTATACAAGTTGATCTTCATGCATATACAGGATGTTATGCCAGAATATAAATTAATCTTATATGCAGAATCCTTGAGACTTCTATCAAATACTGATCCTTTGATTTGCCGTCTTGATCAGTCACGTCATTGAGTGATAATTAAGAAATTATTAACGATTTTCTAAAACTCCAGTACAAGAAATGATTATAAACTTTAATAGATCTATAAAGTAAAATTTACTAACCACGCGCATAGTGCATATCCTGGCCTGTCCACTTTCCTCACAAAGTCCGATAAAAAGTCACCATTTACATATTTTTCCTCCAGCCACGACCATTTGAACTTGTTCTTTACCTTTCCTTCTATGCTACTGATATCCACCGACCTATCTACTTGTTTGTACATTTCATTTGATCTATTATCGCTTCGGTAAACACCTTTGAATAGATAAGGCTCTTCAATTGTCTCGCTCAATAGAACGGTACACAAAAGAATGACCGCGTTTTCTAAAGCACGTTTTCGAGATAAAATCTCGTTCACATGACATGAAATTTGCATTATAAGCATACAAGGTCTCGTACATGCCAGCAAGCATTGCGAGACTACAAAATGGCGGCGCCCTGTCACCGAATGTAAACAAACCGCGCGATTGCATAAACGCTTATCTATGGCATGGAACACCAAAATCCGATAAATGATTTTAAAAAATTTGTTTCTCAGGAAGAAAACCGGAGGTTTTCAGGATTTTTTAGAAATATTCGGATTTCCGGATATATCCAGAAGACTTTCTTATTAATAATTTCTTAATTATCATTCAATGACGTGACTGATCAAGATGGCAAATCAAAGGATCAGTATTTGAGAGAAGTCTCAAGAATACAGACAGATCCAACCCTACCTGGGATAAATGACAGCACCCGACTGGATCACTGGTGGAGAGAGGTTATGCCTTGCTATCCAGCTCTTGGGAAGGTAGTAAGAACTTGTCTTAGTATTTTCACTGGACCCAAAATAGAACAGTCATTTAGCGTTATGAATGTCCTCATTGATGCTAAAACAAACAGG